CAAGAACATCATTTCGCGGAATAACTGAAATAAACAAATTATCAAGTGACTAATGGGCTGCAGTCTAATGAGATGGACACTTGAGATCGCGAGCTTCTGATAACAGAATTACTGTGGTAATGTCACTCACTCACCGTCTCTGTCATAAGAATGATCCAAAACGACATAGCAATGACAGAGTAACAACAGCATCAACCATAAGACAGCATCGCGTTTTCTTAGGCCTTTGACGTTTCCTGCCAGGTTTCCGAGCACACTAAGCCAAGACTTGCCGTCTTCGTGTTTTCTTTGCCGATTCAGTTCACTGAGTTGTTTTGTCAAAATCTCCTGTTGTTGTTTTAACTGGCTTTGTTCTTCATTATTTCTAGCAGACTCCTCCTTCAATCTGACTAAATCGTTATTAAGGTTTAAAAGCTCTTTTCCAATAACTTCTTTAAAGTCAGCCAACACTCGAGCTTCCATACTGTGCAGATCGGAAACGGACTTAAGGTTGCCAATCTCTTTTAGGGCCTGTTGGGCGTCAGGGTCATGAGCTACGTTGGGATCCTGAAGCAGATTTTCAATGGCATCAAATGCGACCTTCTTATCAGCATCGGTCAACTCTAGACAAGGCACATGCACCCAGTTGTTGTTTCGTATTTTACGGACTTCATCAATCAAGGGTTGAGGAATAGTGAACTGGTTACACCAGTACATCAGATTCAAGACACCAGTGATGTCCATGTCGTCTGCACTCTTTATATCAGCATGTCCGCCCAAATCAGGAAGGAAGAGTTTAGCTATTTCCCAGGGGCCCAGGTTTGGATCCATCCATTTGGCAGGATCACTTTGTTTCCAGTTCGGCTTGTTTCGATTGTGATGAGCCTGAAGGATGTTAGCCCACGTGCATATACTCATGTCGTGGTACTCGTTTGGTTTTCTCCGCGGGACACGGACACAGGTGCAGGGTCGCCCGCCAGTTCGTACCGATACCCTCGTATAGAAAGTCTTCATCTCTCGGGTAATAGACGGGCGAAGACCTTGGCACAACTCTGTTGTTAAGGCATGGCCGAGTGCAAGCCAGTTTCTGTACTCTGGTTTAGTAAGTTGTCCGACTGTCCCTGATGTGCTTGAGGATGCCATTTCTTTAGTTGAGAGAAAAACAATTATAGATTGGATCAGCTGAAAGCTCAATTTCGACCCAGAGCCTGGTTTTCTTTTGATCAAAACGCGGACTCTGGATTAACGTAGTTGCTTCAGTCTTCGCTTCTCTCTCTCTCGAGAGTTTCTTTGCACAACTCGATTTTGATTGGTTTCAAAAACAATGAAAATGTACAGAAGTAAAACGACAGCGAGTCGATTGAACCACGTGTTTGTCAGCTGGACATGCATGTCAGTACAATAGCACACTTGCACGAGTCGTCATTTGACTACAGCTACCAGAATTCGTTTCTCCTTTGTTATTTAAATTTTTAAAGCACACGGGGGTTTAAATGACAATTGCGCAAATTAGCATGAGAAAAAGAAATTGTAAAGGATTCTGGAACTTGTAGTCAAATGACGCCATTATGCAAATCTCCTTTGTTTCCTGACTTCCAATTAGAAATTTCCAGGGTCGCTCGTTGCCCAGTTGCTGGTCAAAGGGGAGCGAAGACTCTGGGTACGAGGTTGACTGTGGAATAATCCAATTTTTTGAGCATGCACAGAGTGCTCATTTTGAATCGTTGAAAGTTGAAACGACCGGAAGTCCGTGAATCGCGGATTTTCAACTCGATCCATGATGGCCAGAGTCCGCGTCCGTTTGTCTTAAGACGAATTTTTTAAGAAATCAAATTATACGCCGTCAAAATTCAGTTGACATGTGATTATCATGTAAAACACTTTATTATTGTCACGCCATGTTTCTCCCTGTTTTCAAAATGGGCGGAATTAATTCATATGGGAGCAGCATTCAAAATTTTATCCGTTACCCTTGATTAATTCATGAATAAATTAAAACAGAAACAGCAGCCCGGCTTTATCTTCACTTTATTCTCAATTTTGGTTCTAGTATTACTTGCCAAAAGGTGATCTCCTGGTACACCTGTAGCATACAAGAGTGCGTCGAGCACCTAGAATATTCCTTTATTTTCCGAATCTAAATTTCGGGGAAACCCCTAATGCCAAAAATGCCTCTATTATTTTGTAAATTATGAATAATCTGACGAAAATCCTGACGAAAATCATACCTGCTTAATCTCCCTTTTTGCAAATTGCTTTATGTATATACCAGTCTCTCATTGTTAGACACTGAACGTTAAAGGAGCCCAGTCACGGTATTTTGAGTTATTTGGCCACATACAAAATTACCTTTAAATGGTAGGAAACCTGAAAAGAACAGTTTAATAAGACAGAAAAACACCAACAAGATAATGATAAACCATAAAGCAACAAGGATGGCTAAGGATGGAGAAGATTAACACGGATTACAAACGACGAATTTGAAAAGTTGAGGCTAAACTTTTCAACATGCACAAACCGTGACTGACAAACTCCTTTAAACTATAACATGCAAATAATTAGAGTACCACCATCAGCTAAATGTTAGTCTTAAATTTATGCATGACACCAGCAAGAGTTTCAATAAATACTTCTTGAATTAATCAGCACTATGTTCTAAAGATTATGAGGCTCGCACTCCCCAAGAAAATAAATAAGCTCGTTAACAGGATCAGTCCATGAGGATCTGGATGAGGGTCCCGCCTGGCCTCAGTTATCAGTTGAATTTTCGGTGATTACACAGCTATCAAGTAGACCGCTCCAACGCGGTCTTATCCGCATTGGAGCGGATAAGACCTTTTCATCAAGCGACACGGAACGCGAGGTATTTAATTCAAATTAAAGCTAACGGAGAAACAGATTATCAAGCAAGTATTACATGGTATAAACAACAATGACCAAAGAGAACTTCTCGTATCCTACGACCACTTGTTGGTAGAGAAGGTCGTTCCCAGTGGGTAACCGTTCCGTGTCGTTTATGGAGACGATATTTATACTCGACTGTATTCAACGACCAAGTTTAGGTAGGGGTGCAGCACTCAGCGGATATTAAGCTATACATATAAGGCCCCTATATTATCTTAATCTATTATCCTTGCCATGATATCTCGCCATTTGTTTGCAACTTTTGATTCGGTGAAAACTTGCCAATCTCTTTACAAAACGAAAATCATGAACATTCATCGTTGAAAATTCTCCGATGGATGTAATTCTCTCGGAACACAATGTGTGCCAGTATCATCTAAGCGTGTCAGCGGCAGTTGAAGCTGTATTAAACCACTAAACTCAAGCCAGCATATCACAACGGATCCATTCCATATTATTAAACTCGGTTGGAATAATTCTGCTAACGCTATTTCGAGGTTAGTTCCTACGCATTGTTGACGAAGTGGCTGTGCTGTGTCGAAATCAGGAATAACTGGGAATAAGCATAAGGCTAACCAGTCCATTCCAAATTGAAAATACTTCTTTATATCCCATTACTTCAAAAACTGTCCATTAATGNTGTTTCTTCAAAAACAATAATCCACTGCAGGCTTAAAATCATAGGAATATACTCTCCTCCCATCGCTTCGGCCGGTTTGGCACTTAGGTGGAAGCCACCCTTCTGAGCGATTGTAAACAGCGTCATGTAACAGTCACGGTAAGTCTACCATCTGTACGTTTCTTTTAAGTGCTAGCGGTTTTCCAGTTATAATTAAATTTCAACCTGCCGCCTGCAACCTACAAAATATACCTGCCGGCGTTCCGTGTCGTTTATGGAGACGATATTCATACTCGACTGTATTCAACGACCAAGTTTAGGTAGGGGTGCAGCACTCAGGGATATAAAGCTATACATATAAGGCCCCTATGTTATCTTAATCTATTATCCTTGCCATGATATCTCGCCATTTGTTTGCAACTTTTGATTCAGTGAAAACTTGCCAATCTCTTTACACAACGAAAATCATGAACATTCATCGGTGAAAATTCTCGGATGGATCCAGTGTAATTTTCTCGGAATTCAATGTGTGCCAGTGTCATTTAAGCGTATCAGCGGCAGTTGAAACTGTATTAAATCATTAAAGAAGCCAGCATATCAAAACGGATACATTATATTATTGAACTCGGTTGGAATAATTCTGCTAGCGAGGTTAGTTGCTACGCATTGTTGACCAACTGACTGTGCTGTGTCGAAATCAGTAATAACTGGGAATAAGCATAAGGCTAACCAGTCCATTCCAAATTGAAAATACTTCTTTATATCCCGTTACTTCAAAAACTGGCCATTAATGATGTCTAAACTCACCTTTTGAGGACGATTTTAAACCATCATTTCATCCACCATCTTTCTCGGTATAATTTCGACGATGACATCATAGTTCCAAGAAACCAGCCTCGATCTGAGTTTTTTTTTTTTCCCTTTCGGGGTAGTGGAAGAGAATGCCTCTGTGTAACCAGAATCATACTTTCCAAACAGTTAGCATAGAAACAAGCGAAAACTAAACTTGGGGACCGGGAGAATTTTCTCAGGAGCTCGTATCGTAACAAGCGTTATTCAGATTATGTTGACATGACATGGGAAAGGAACGCTTGACAAAAATACAGATGAACAGGAAAGATTAATCTCGGGGGTTGGAGAGGGGGGGGGGGGTGGGGACTCAGGAACGCTAAGTGGCAATAAAGAGAGTAGTATAGTCTCGATACCAGTTCTTTTCCTAACGCTTAAAATTACCATAAAAAATCACTTCCACTCTGTCGACTTTTGGAACTCTAACTGCGGCTAATGGATACTTTGCATTTATTGCACATGCTTGGAAAAAATGTTCAAGATATTGGACATGGTGTGATGCTTGCCAAACAAGACGATATCGACTCCAAAACCCTGGTTTGT